AAATCCGTTAAGCCAACCGCACCCGGTTCATCGCCTGTCTCGGAACCCGGTCGCCCGAGAGACGGAAAAGTCTCCAATTGAACCGCGCACACCACATCGCCTTTCTCGACCGCCAGTCTGCCTAGACAATGGCATTTTGACCACAATTCCCCACTTCCCACCGACCCAAACAACAGCGCTACTTCGTTCTACCTTATAACTGTACAGGCCTGAAGATAATTTATCGAAAGCAAATGCATGCTTGTCAATTTATCTTTTGGCATTTCAAGTGGGGATTTTCACAAATTTAATACCCAATGTTTGCCAATTAAACTGCTTTGAAGAAACTGGAAAGCCAGAACGAATCCCCTTTTGATGGAACGTGCCAAAAAGAGGTTGATGTAACATTCAGTCACAACTGGATATATTTTGGCTTCCGCTGACACACTAATAAGTAGGTCAATACCGACAATAGGAGAAGAAGGATACTGGCAGTCTGGAATATAAGGTCGACGTACCAGGCCATACGGTCACAAATCGAAAAACTGACACCAGCCGGTTTAGTTCATGCAGCATTTGGAAGGGAGGCAATAAAAGCCCAATTAAACTTCGGTATAAAATTGAGAATCAGGACATTCTGCATTATATAAACAACCTGGCTGATGCATAAAACCAGGGCACACACATGCGACAAATAGTTTCATAATTATCAGCCAGCATCGCCGGACTCACCACCATATAAGAGGTAGAGTTGAATGATAAAATCCTCTGATGACAGCAGAGGACCAAAATTTGACATCTCGGAGCCTTGAGATCTCGCTCAGTGTCGCTTTTTCTTTATATCCTCCTGATTGCCTAAACATTCGTCGGCATTTTCGTTAGTTTTTAAATGAGTGAATATAAAAGGTAGGAAACAAGCGCAAAATGAGATTTTTCCCCTATTAAGAAGGCTAATTTGTTTTCAAAAGTGTCTGCTATTTTTAGGTTGTAAGCGATGGATTTTTATTGGATTGAAAGGGTTGGCTTCAGGGGATATTTAAATAGACGGTCAATCCGATGGAACACAACCATCATACTATCCTGGATTATATGAAAATATTAGAAGTTACTACAACAATCATCCTTGTAGACATGTACCCCTTGGAGATCCTAGTGTTTTGCGGCTTGTAATGTTAACCATATGAAAGGCCACAGAAATTAACTTATTCCTTACCAAATATATGGTTGAAAACAGCGAAGTTAGCATGCTTTCTATCTGCTCATAAACGCTTTTGCCTGATTGAAATAGGGGTAGACATCTGGTAAGTATTTGAACTGTAAATTCCACAAAATGGACTTTAAGGGTTGCCCCTGGGCAATTTTTCACCCACAGGCACCTTAAACAACAGCGGATGTACCTCACAACAAATAAGGTCACGTCAAAGCGACTTTGTTCCTCAGAAACCCAAGAGGATGCTTTTTTGGAAAAAATAATCATTGTTGCTGTTATCATGCTGTACGAATTATAAATTGACCTTCAAACTCTGCATTTCCAAATCCGGGCTTGGCAAACTAAATAAAGAAATATATTTCACTTTGTACTGCCTAGTAAATGTTGAGCTGTACGATTGAAGATAGGGAGTCTTGTAAATTGTAACTCCCTAGTGCCTTATGACGTTTAACTTATTGTCGTAGCTTTAAGTTTCTGATGTAAGGATTAACTAATACTAAAGTTTTATGTATTTCCACATAATTTATCATTATCTGTTCAGAAACTATGCTTAGATCTATGGTCTACTTTAAAAGAATAGATTCGTTACAGTTACTCTGTTTTACAATGGAAACCTAATTAAAAATATTACCGTTATCTACTGGAAAATTAGTAACTAAGTCCATAATTACTCTCAGGTGACGCGTAGATATAGATTTGAACTAAAAATTGTTTGCTCGTATGAATTATCTTAAAAAACTGACTTCGGTCGTTCTTTAGACATTTAATAATCAGTTAAACTACAGAATTAGTTATTGAATGAGACCATTCTGCTTAACAAATGCAAATGAAGTTGTGTATATGTGTTTGCATTTTCTGGCGGACAAAAGGATATTATGCAGTCGCAAATATCAGTCAAGTTAGATGATCAAATTTGTGCAAAGTTATGCAAAATATGATAGATGCTTTCTTTCCTTTATTATGTCATGTTTGTTAAAATGGCTAATTTTGCATAGTAGTATGCCGGAAAATATTTTTGTCACATAATTATGTCCTTCTGAACTGTCAATTGCATCCTAACCTGCGAAATATTTGGCTTCTGTGGGCAGACGATGGTGAACATGTTCTATTATAAGTTCCTGCTTGAAAAGAATGCTGCTTTCACATAAATTCGAAGTAGAGATGAGATTCAGACCACACAAAAAAGAAAGCATGATTTACCAGTTTATTCAATAGCCACATCAACATACTTATGGCCTATACGGCTTTGAGGCACGATTCGACCAAGTTCAGTGGATGCGTAAGGTAATCCCGGAAGAATTCAAGAAAAGAGCAACAAAGAGCGTTGCCTCATTAATAACTAGCCGCCTTGTCTAAAATCTTATTCCAATTTTCATGCTTTATTGTCCCTTTGGGGTAAATTCCTGAGCACTTCACGTCACGTAGGGCGCGATAGTGAGCAGTGGATTGGTGTGTGTGAAAGACGAGCGGCACGCTGCCAACCAATCCGATTGCACCATTGAGACCCAATTAGAATTAGCTGTGAAAAGCATTTTTCTAAGAGATTAACTGACTACAAACTGCCTACCTATGGGTCAAGTAAACACTGCGCAGGTATCTAGCTGGACACCAACTCGTATTCTGTTTTGACAAAATGCACACCTACGGACAGGTTAAGTTTGAGGAAATCTACAAAGAGTGCAGACTGCGTTACATAAGGCAGACGTGTCGCTTGAAAAAAATCATATGCTGGACACCCGAGGGAGATCTTGTGCTGCTAAATCCCCGAAAAGTCAGACGAGGATCACCCTACTTGACAGGAGCCGGCAAAGCCGACGATAAGCAAAACAGCCTCGAGTGCGACTTTGAAAAATGTGCCTCAGCTCCTCGGATAGCAGATCTAATCTCCTCGTCAACTCTTTCCCGATTTCAGCAGGCAATGCAGAATTCAGTCCAAAAGTGCACATTCCCGACCAGCTCCAGTTTTCCACAAACTGCTTCCTCTCGCGGCTATGCGAGAGAGCTCGTTTTGATGCGCAAACACGCTCTTATGTCACCAGCCTCTAACAAGACGTTAACAACAGTCGAAAACATTGCTCCTGTACCAACGCCGAAACTCAACGCTATGGAAACAACAGGTGCGTGAATAAGCCTTCCTGTACCTTTGTGATAAACAGCGTTTGAAAATACCAAGTCCCGTACCCTTGAACTTATTGGGCGTCTTATGATTCCAGTAGTAAGGAAAATTCGAATAAGAGCCTTGTAAGCACAGATTTCAACAATCATTTTCTATTCGTTTGCAAATCGAACTTAAATTAAACTCGATTCTCAAATAGTGAGAAGAATCGCAGGTAGCTCGGAAATTCGCGAATGCTCGGGTTAATTAATACATACTACAAGCTACAAGCCTTTTTTCAAACTGCCCAAGATGTTAATAAACTTGTCAATGAAATTGAAATATTGTTTTTTTATTACTCAGTTTGAGCCTACGGACACAGTGCGCGGAACTTTGTGTTGTTAATGGATGTTTAATATGGAAAAGTACACTGCAACTGCTAAGAGACGAAGGATTTTCTGCGGCTAGAATGTTATGACTAACAATGAAACGGACGGAAGAAAATATTGTGAATTTAATGACATTTTATGCTTTTATAGTCACAACTGTATCAGTTACATTTTCTCATTTGAGATAGAACCCAAAAACTGGTCAGTCTATTGAATCGACTAACCGACTCAATTATATTGAGAAGTCACGAAAACTGAATATTAAACTGGGTTGTAAGATCTAAGACAAACTCAATGCGGTTTAGAGAACATAACGTCCTGAACAATATTGAAATATCCACGTCATACCTATACAATTAAATATTTTTCTGATGGTTAATCACTAATTTAAGCAACAGTCACGATATATTGGCGTATGAAGGACTTGCCGGCCTACAGAGATCCAAATTGCCTATCACGGGATAAGAAATAAAAGGCTTTCAGTTTTCATAAGAACTACATTTTATCTGATGTGGCTAAGAGGTTTAAACGTTCGTTGGAATAAATTGTTTAGTATCCGTCTGTTTTTGATATTTTCTCGTCAGACCAATAAATTTACATCGAAACGGGGCTCAGAAAGCATGCACTCTTTTATAGATATCGATTAAAGTTCTTAAATTCACAAAAGTGGATTGAGGGTTATAGGAAGGAGAAGAAGTTATACGAGACAACTAGGTGAAAGGCAGTGAGGATTAGGCGGAGCCAATGTCCTATAGAAAGGCTGGAGAAATTTCACCCAGATGAATAAGCAAATGTGATATCTGCGCAATTAATCCTGGAAAAAAATGATAGCTTTCTTGCATGCTCTGAAATCGGCACATTTCTTAATCACGTCCGATATGGAATCATTATTTCCGATCTCTTTATTATACGTCCTGCTACGCAGAAGTCTTAGCAGTAGTGTCCAAAGACAGCGTTATTCGAAGGAAATACAGGAGCTTTAGTTGTTTCGTTTCTCTTCAATATATTGTTAATGTAATCGTTTTTTATCGGAAAAGACTAAAAATATTATTCCACAGACGATATCTATGACGAGTTCTAAAAGATCCAGTATCTGTTCCCCAAGAATGAGTATAGTGAAGGATTCGGTAGAATAAGTACTTTGGAAAACAGTGGTTTATTGTGTGAATTTTCGATACTGGCTCACCAGGTTGTCGTCAGACAGATGGGAATCGTACGAAACAGTTAATTCAAAATGATGGCAAACAGAAGCTTATAAAGTGGTTCAGAGTAGTAGTCAAAAATCGTCACCCGTATGTAATTATGGGGTCAGATGCGGCCTTGGGATGCCGATTTTCCAGTTCATCTGGCAAAGATATAGTGTGACTAATATTATCGAGGCAAAAGTTAAGATACCACCCTAACGGCGGATAAGAAAACCGTGTTCTTCAATGGCCGCGTTAAGGGACGCCGTGAGTGAAATTTTGAGAAGACGATTTGAACAATTTATTCCATAAAACTTTTCAGCAGCAAAAGTCAGGTTTGTAAAACGTAAGGATATGTTGCCAGCGCTGACCACCTCCATGGGTATTTTGTGCTTTATTTCAACTTGTGAAGTTGACTTCATGGCCGCACGCGCTGTAGCCTACCAAACTAATATGGGACCAAGTTCCAGCATAGCTGAGGAAAGCCAAATCTAAGAGCAAAGGCGTTGTCATTCTCGAAGGAACGGTTGTTTCTGATCATTGTATTAGCCCCAGTAAAACGTGTCGGGTGACCTGTAAGGTTTAAATAATGAAGAAACCATTTTGTGAATATTTTCATTGAAATAAGTTTTGAGCCGTACTATTATTATCATGTTCAACTCTGAGCAGACAGCGTTACGCCCATACATAAGGCCTTTTCTTCATTCGAAACAACATCCTATCACTAAAAGTAAGGGTACATGGTTGTTTAGTTTCACGTAGTCTTCATTTTTCAGAATGTTTCGCTGTTTTCATGTGTAATGTGTTTTTATACGAAAAGTAACCGTAATTGCAAGCAACGCCGTTGCATTTTGATGAGTATGTTAAGTAAACAAGTAGACTTTCGAGTTTCACTGAGACCTAATTTCATGTGGTGCTCCTGTTACCTTGATAATGCTACCAAGCAAAATTGTCCGATTCATTTATGCTATGCGACCATTATTAGATGCTCATTCCATTTAATCAAGATAATTGCACATATAACAGCCGGAAAGACGCTCCAATAATATAAAGTTTTATCTTTTTGCCAAATATCAGATCATGTTTATATTGTCATGTCTCCAATAACCATCACTAGTCAAGAGTTAGATTAAACTTCAAAAGATAACAAATAGTTACTGCTGAAAGAAAATCCGAGCAAAAATTTTATGAATTTTGGTTTCAGGTCAAAGATCATAAATGACTAGAGATATTTCGTGTTTACGTCGGGTATTCTCAGGTTGCAAGTTGCTTATGTGTCCGAACGTTTACCAAAAGAAGACTGACCTAGTAGAGATTGGCATTCTGTTCATATTTAGCGCATGCAGTTTATTTAACACGCAGACAGAATGACTGCTCCCTGGATCAATTTTTATTTTAGATTCAGGATTTATCAGAATATATTGCCGATCGCTTCTGAAATCACTATAAGCTTTCAGATATAAAAACAGACAAACGGATTACACCAAAAGCCACCAAATTTTCAGCTTTTAAGGAAATACCCTGATTGGGTATCTTTACGTTATTTACATGAGAAAGAAGATATTGCAATTGTGCTTTTACGAAAAAGGCCACGGGAAATAACACCTGCGAATTTTGGTAACAGAACCTTGGTTCAGCAGAGATGAAAGAGAGCGCAGGTATTTTCGCACGAACTGGTTGTGAGCATTCAACACAACATTGAAAGACCTGGCCAAGCATGCATATTTTCTATCGTACTCTGGTAATACAGATTGTCATCTTTAGGTTTGGCGTGTAGAACCGAGGTCACGAGTTCGCATAACTCACTGTTGAAGACGATGCATAAAGTTAGCAAACTAGTTAAATGAATCCTGTCTTGCTAATACAAGCGAACACGCGAGTCCCAGGAAGTAATCGAGAAGTAGAAGACGACTCGATCGCTGGGACTATATGTTTATTCGCTTGACGTTTCGAAATCCGCCGCGGATTCGTCATCAGAGACATACTCACATAACAGTAGCAGAAACAGTTTGTGTGTGCACAGGGTTCTACCGTTAAATTTAAACGTACAGAAAAAATCGATAAATGCCTTTGTGTGCTGATTCGTCATGTCAGCAATGACCTTATGGCCTTGTGATGTTGGCATAAGATGATGTGGTGGCCTGTGTGTTCCCCGAGCGGCGATTCGCTTTGGCCAAATTTAGTCTCAGCACCAAATATGGATTGGGCAAATCGTTGTACTTGTTCTCGGCTCACTTTATTGTCACCTCTTGCGAGAATTTCGGCCTCATCAAATTT